ATTTAAAAAAAAAAAAAACTCCAAATACCCAAAACTGGAAATCTGTCCAAAGATCTATTTTTAAATCTCCAATCTTTGTTATAGATATAAGAAATATAAGAAAGCCCTTGGGGTAATCAGTTATCCTCTAGGTCTTATTATAAAACATTAAATTAATTTATATTTATTGAATGTCTGCCTGCAGAAGGAAAGCAGTTGGCCTTATATTCTGCTTCTGTAAATTTTAAAACGTACTGTCTGTTTCTCAGGGAACTGTAACTATTTTAGAGACTTTTCCTGAGTGATTCTTATTTTAGCCTCAGAGAGCAACTCATGGGGGCAGTTCTACTCTGTCCTATAGGGTCACTAGAGTTGTGTCGACTCGATGGCAACAGGTTTGTTTTTTGGGTTTTTTTAGAGACAGATGTGAGGCAGGAGCCATGCCTTCTGAAGGGAAAAGAAGGTTGGTTGGAAACACCAATATAAGATTTATTTACCTTATTTTATGCAAATAATACGAACCTTCTACGTTTGCTAGCCAACAGAGCCCTCTGCCCTTGAGGTATTTTCGTAAATGTGCTATGCTAATTTTTTACAATATGTAAAAAAAAAATTGGCATAGCAGCACTTACGAAAATACCTCTAGGGTGGAGAGCTCCACTGGCAAACAAATGTAGAAGGAGTACGTTATTTGCATAAAAATACAGTACTAGGCTTTACAATGCTTCAGAATCTCAGCTACTATAAACAGAATCTGACCTACTATAAATCACAGAAATTTGGCTGATAGTATCTATGATGACATGCGGAAATCAATACTGCTATAAAAGTAAAAATAAAACCAAACCCATTGCATCAAGTCAATTCTGACTCATAGTGACCCTATACTTACGGTTAATATCATAAAATTAAGGTAAACGTGCAAATGAAACAAATATATAAATATACAAATATATAATATATAAATAATATAAATATACAAATATATAAAAATATACAAATATATAAAACACAGTAAACAAATCAAATTACATAAGTAAAGGAAATACAAACACTTCAGATTTTTTAACAATCATTTCAAATAAAGAGCCCATCAGTATCACTTCCTCAACAATATGATGAGGAAAACTGAAAAGAGAAATATGAATACGGAATAGCACGAAGATATCCATGCTGTTAATGAAACCACAATTTTACCTGCCATGCTGTAAGGCAAGAGGTGCACATCAAATGCCCACAAGGCTCAATCTTGACATCTTTGTCATTCTCTGCACAGATTTTACAAAGCTGAAAAGTGGAGCCCATTTCACAATATAACTCATATTGTTCCTGGAATTTGGGGGAAAAAAAACAATATTAATGTATTTATGTATTTCTAACATGATCATTGATACTGAATTTTCTCAAATACAATGACTTACAGTAAATATACTTCACACTTAATCTTGTCAAGAATATTTTAACTTTAAGGTTTGTTTTGAACTGATAGATCACAATTTGGTCTACAAAAAATCAGTTTTTTAAAAAGGTTTGCACTTTTATTACAAATTTTATAAGGTTCTTTAATGCTGCAAGGGAGCCCTGGTTGCACAGTGGTTAAGCACTCCACTGCTACCTGAAAGGTCAGCAGGGTGAACCCACCAGCCACTCTGTGGAAGAAAGATGTGGCATCTGCTTCTGTAAAGATTTACAGCCTTGAGAACCCTATGGGGTAGTTCTACTCTGTCCTATAAGGTTGCTATGACAGAATCTACTCCACGGCAGTGGGTTTGGTTTTGGGTTTTTAAAGCTTCAGATTATTTAGTGTTTCATACTATTCCTTTAGAAAGGGAACTGTTTCTAACAGCTACAGACATCCAAAAGACAAAACTCACGGTTTCAAATAACAATATAAATAACTTCAATTAGTTTGTAAAATCCATATGTTCATTTACTTTTATGTCGAAGTATATAAAAATAAATTATGATTCTGAGGGAACACAAAATTTTACTTATTTTTAGAAATTCTGGAATGTAAGAAAAGTAACATTTGCTAAGTCCTTCGTGCATGCTAGGTATGTAATGCACACTTACTATTTCATATAATCTCCACAACACAACAGATACATTTAATTAAAAACAGAGTCTTATTAAGTTTTAGTTGTTTTCCCCAAATTCTCAACTAGGTCTCTGGCTCTAAAATGTGTACTCTACTAAAATGTACACCTAACACTGTTGAGATAAGGGTTATAATCCCTTAAGCAACAAAGTGTTCTTATTAAACTTCTATTCTCTTGTTTCACTAGGATTATTAGCTTAGAATGCTTTGGAGTAGTAAAAATCTATCTCAGTGTTCAGTTATTAAAAAGATCTATATCACAAAGAAGGTATACATTAGTAAATGTAAAGAAAGTATGAAAAGTGTTGGTTAATAGGGATAAAAATTAAATGAATTAAGAAGTCAAAATTAGTGGAAATAAAGCAATGCTGTGGTCCAGTAAGAATCTACAATGTATCTAACACTGGGTAGGATAAATAAGTGACAAGATTTATTCCCTAACCTACAAAAATATCTTAAATTTCTGATGGAAAAAACAACAAAAATATGCATGTATGCACAAACACATACAAACATTCTGTCCACCATGATATGTGTGTGTGTGTGTATACATATGCATATAAATATTTTTTAAAGTAATCAAGGAAAACGTAAAGAATGAATGGATCAAGATAGAAAAGAAATTAATCAAAAATAAATTATAAATTGTTGTAGTCCATGAATAAAAATAATGGTTATGACCACCCAAAGGGCCCATCTGCAATTATAAAAAAAAATTACAATAAACTAACATCATAGATGCAGCACTCAATGCAACCTAAACGATAAATCATATGAATATGTACTAGGAATTACAGAACTCTAAAGTTTGATTTTTTTTTTTAATGGCTTTATAAAGAGGAACTATCTCTAGTGGGTGACCTTTTACAGATATTAGAAAATACAGAATCAGTACCTAATTTTAAAAAATGGCAGTTATATATTAAATTAAAATCTGTCTATAAACAGTAAATATAAATGTAGGCAAGTGTGTTTCACAAAATAGTATCATGACTATAAGGACTAAAATCTGGAGATCCAGAAATGAAGTAAATCATTATCTACAGTCTTCCCCAAAATTTATAACTCCTATGTTTTTCTTGGATTTTTATTATTTATTATACAAAGCATGAATATATCTAAATTATAAAGGATTTTAAAATTAGATAGTATGTAAAATGAAATATATTAGAGTTCTCTCTTCCTTCTCACCCTGTTACGCTTCCCCAGAGGAGTTAACACTGTTAGCAGTTTGGTGTTTTTTATTTTTTTTTTAAATACATTCCTATGTTCATATATAGGTAATTTCCCGTTTACTTATAAACACAGAACTTACATGATAGAACATTTACAAAAGGGAATGTTACATAATGGAGTTTTACACAAATGAAACTTGTTTACATAACAAAATACAAAACTTCGTAAGTACGTAGAGAGCTACCTCATTCCTTTTAATATTTTCATACTATAACATAGTGTGAGTATAGCATGGTTTGCTTAACCTATTATTGAACATTTTGGTATTCTGCAATTTTTCACCATTATGAAAAATGCCTACAGTGAATGCCTTGGTGTACAGACGTTTTTTTACACGTGGAATATTGAGTCAAATGATGTACTCATTAAAGATTTTGATAATTACTGACATACTGCCCTCAAGAAATGCTCTACCAAGTTACACTCTCACTCATAACCTATAAGGTTGCCAATAATGGACTTATAAAAAAAGTAATTATTACCTTTAATAAGTTTCAATTACCTATTTGACTCTTTTAAAAGCTATTGCATAAAGTTATTCTAATCTTTTTTTGTAGTTTTCTAAACATAAGGCTGTTCTATCTACCTATTTATTTATCTACCCATCTCTGCCATTTAAATGCCATTATTATAAGAGTAATAACAGCAGAAACTGTGCTCCAAAAATAGAAAAAATAACATAATTTCTTTTCAAATATGCTTATAATTCCTTAAATATATTTTGCATTAAATATATGTGCATGATTTTAACCACAGTATAAGTAGAGAATATTAATTTACTTTGGAAGCATTATACATAGTTATTTATGATAGTTTTCCAGAAACTGTGCTTACCTGTGTAACTTTTATATGATCATGGGGTGTAGGTTCACATAATCCAGTTAAATCAGGATTATAACTCCTCCCGTCAGGATAAAGATAGCTGAATTTTGAAACATAAACATTATTAGAAATATAAACCTTTTTCATTGCATTTAAGGTTATATAATCTATTTTCAAACAGTCTGATGTTTACTTTTCATTCAAGCTGTAACTTCTCTAACCATTCACGTAATATTACAAGTTAATCTTTAGAATATCTGGAATCTAGAAATCATTTTCCTATGAGAAACGCATAATAAATATGAGCTCAGCATCTAAGAAATCATTTTCAATTAAATACCTTTAATATGTATCCTTTAGGTAAGTTAAACGTTTACTTCAGTAGTCACTTATGTACTATTTCAAAACTACTTTGAATATATGTGTATTTGCAAGTATTATGTCTGTCACTTGAAGCATGGTTAATGTTATCTGCATCATTTTATACCACCTTTAACATCACATGGAGAGAAAAACAGAATTAAAACTACAATTTTCCTGCCAAAATAATTCTAACACCTTGTGGTGTTCCTGTTCTCCAGCTTCCCAATTCATTCTTCTGACTCCTCTCCACTCAGCCCAACACACCGTTTAAAGAAAAAATAGAAAAAATTATATAATTTCATGTTCCATTTACTTCAAATCAAGCTAGAAACAAAGAACCTAGAAACGTAAGTTCCATTATAATAGAGAACTGCAGTCTGAAATAAAAGTTACAGTAATAATGCCATCTTGCTGTATTAAAAATCAGTTCTACCCCTTACTCATAAATTATTTTTAGAAATGAAAAACTAATGTGTTATTAAATAAAAAATAAATGGCAATATTAAGGTTAGATTTTTTCCAAATCATTAAATTCTGTTTACTTCTTTTTAATACTTTTCTAATCTATGTGGCGTAAGTGAAAAATTAAGAATATAATATTAGGGAGGTAAATATTTTCAAAGATAAAAGTATACTAAAGTTAATCTGTGAAATAACAAAAATATCTATCCTTAAATGAAGAGTCTACACTTTAGTAAATTCCAAAGAAGTAAGTCTTAAAATTTACCCAGGGAAACCAGAAAAATGAATGTATAGGACAGACAATTCTCATATGGTTAGGGACAGGTAAGTGAGATAATGTTTTTCTTTTTTAACACTTAGGAAAAGGAGCTGATTATATCTGACTATGAAACAAATTTAGTGTGTCATTATGGTGGGGGGCAGCAAATTTCTAAACATATTAAATGAGGAGCAAAAGCTGATAAGTAACTTTCTTTCTATATCCTAAAATGGCCATTTGAAAATACATCTGATATATTACAATATACAGATATATTCTCTACATATTATTAAATAAAAAATTTTTTAAATCCATTTCTATCAAGTCAATTCCAACTCACAGCGAGCCTATAGGACAGGGTAGAACTGCCCCCTAGAGTTTCCAAGGAGTGGCTGGTGGATTTCGAACTGCCAACCTTTTGGTAAGCAGCCAAGCTCTTAACCACTGTGTCACCAGGGCTCCATTAAATATACTGTTGTTGTTGTTAAGTGCCATCGAGTAGGTTCCAACTCATAGCGACCCTATGTAAAACAGAACAAAACACTGCCTGGTCCTGCGCCATCCTCACAATCATTGTTATGCTTCAGTCCATTGTTGCAGCCACCGTGTCAATCCATCTTGCTGAGGGTCTTTCTCTTCTTCACTGACCCTCTACCTTACCATGCATGATGGTAAATATATAGATACATATATATCTATAAATATCATATTAAATTCTAGGGATTCAAAAAAATCTTACGTAAACTTTTTCAAAAACATTTTGCCATCTGTCTTTCTCAATATATCACATTTCAAAAATATGTGAAAAATCAAGAAAAATTAAAAATTAAAGATTATATTAATGATAATAAGATTGCTAGAGGAAAAGTTAAAAGGTTCTATTTAACCTACAAGAAGCCAATTCCACAATTACTGTCCTCATATAAAAGGATGCTGCTGATGACCATCCTTCAATGGCAGTGAAGGAGTAAATATATTGATTAGTTATCAAAATAAACCTTTTTTAACACTTAGGTCATAAAATACTGTATTAACTAAAAGAATAGCTGACCCTGATAATAGCTGTTCTGCAGGAGAAAGATGTGGTAGCCTGCTTCCAAAAAGATTTACAGCCTTGGAAATCCTATGGGGCAGCTCTTCCCAGTCCTACAGGGTCACTATGAGTCAGAATCGACTCGAGGACAGTGGGTTTTTGTGTGTGTTTTTTATAACAGCTGTGCCAGATGATATCATGTCACTGATCTTAAGAATGTTTATTTAATATAATAAAATCGATTTTAATCTACTCTATCTCTAAAGTTTAAATTTAACTAGCCAAGTCCCTCTGAAGACTTATGTGTGTGTGTTTGTAAATATTACAGTTAACTTCCAAAGGAGTTAATCTGCAAAGGAGTTCATAAACTAGACTCTACAGATTACAATATTGTAACTTGTTACTTTGACTCACTTTGAAAAACAGATTAAAGGTATTATAACAATACAAACACACTATATCACAATACTCCATCTACAGGTTTGTCCACTCATACCCTCTTATTAATGAATTAAAACTTTAAAGTACATTTTCTTCTAAAAATAAAAAGCCTGTAATAGTGACGAATCGTAAGCTACAGATATGAATCTCTGATACACCAGAGGTAAGAAATAAATAACTGAGAACAGCAAATTTATGAAAATTAAAAAAGAAAAGAAACACATCTGGTACTACAGCTTGCCATATACCTCATATGTAACTGTATCTTGACAGCTCATAGATTGAAGAAAAAAAAAATGAGTTGTTTTTCTGCACATAAATTCCACCATTACATATATGTGTTTTTTTTACAATTACTTTGTAAAAGGAAAAGCTTAAATCATTTGCTCTTTTCTAACTCCAGTGAGCCTTCTCTTCCTAGATTCCTATCACAATCCACAATGCAGCAAGCTGGATCTCACTATGTCCTTGAGTGACCCAGCAAGGCAAGGGCAGAGGAAGGCAGCATGAAGTGGTGCTAAAATACCAAAAAAGGATGGAGGAAACTGTACACTATGAAAATGAATGAGAAGGACCTGATATATTTACTATGAAGGGGCCTATCACTTGGTCCAAACTGTGTGTGTGGCAAAAAAGTCATAAATCTGAGAAACAAAGCAGAGGGACTTACTTGTATTTAAGTTTTAAAAAAACAGCAGATAAACTAAACATAGCCATTGCTATATAAATTTGGATTATCAATTTCTTATTCGTGTTAATAAAAGAGGATACAAAGCGAAAAGCAATAAAGATGTGAATAAAGAAAGGATGAGAAGAAGAACATCTAGCACAACCAACCAAAACAAAAAGTAAAACTAGCAATTTGTGGGGTATACAAGGCAAGAGAAGTCAACTACCTGAAATAATTACCTCTCAATATATATATAAGGAGCTGTGGTGGTGCAATAGTTAAGCGCTCAGCTGCTAACCGAAAGGTTGGCAGTTCAGACCCACCAGCCACTCCTCGGGAGAAAAGACGTGGAGATCTGCTGCTGTAAAGATTATAACATAGGAAACCCTATGAGGCAGTTTTACTTTGTCCTCTAGGGTTGCTACAAGTCAAAGTCAACTTCATGGCACACAACAATAATAATATATACATAATGAGCCCTGGTAATGCAACGGTTAAGCACTGAGTGGTTTGAACCCACCCAGTAGCTCTGTGGGAGAAAAGACCTGGTGATCTCCTAATGATTATAGCCTAGAAAATCCTATGGTACAGTTCTACTCTGTCATATAGGGTCGCTTTGAGTCAAAATAGGCTCTCGAGAGCACACAACAATATATACATAGTTTTACGTTTATTTTCAAACTACTTTTAAGTCCCATTTTCCTACAAAAAACATTAACTCATGTTGTAATTTGATGCTGAAATTTACTTGCTATAACACACAGCTAGATTCAAATAATTAGGTTACTTTAAAATGCCTATTTTAATAAATAATGAAAACAGGAACATCCATTTCTTAGTGTTGAAATAAAAAAACAAACAGCCAGATCATCAGTTTCACTAAGCATTCTCGATTTTTCCAATTTGTGAGCAATAAGCACTCTGACTCTCACATTTCTCATACTTACAATCCTTCTCTGCTGCCGTCAATCAGAGCTTGAAATAAGGGCTTGTTATGAGGTATGGTCTGTAAGATGTTGCCATCCCCCGTCACATAGCCAATGGCCCACTGTCCCAATCGAGTGCAGCTTAACCGAAATATGTAGCTGAAAAACATGAGAAAATGATGTGTAATCACATTCAAAACGTATGCTAACTGCTAAACAATTTATTCAGGATTTTTTTGAGCAAAGGAAAGAAAAAAAACAATCCTTTAGAAGACCTGAGATAAATTTCTGTGTTTTTAATTTATTTAACACCACTGTACTCCAAGTATCTATCTGTAAAAGAAGCACTCATAATATACTTTTTTAAATTACTCTAGGGTAATGTGAATAAAAAATTGCAATTGTAAGCTATAAGGTGATTTATTGCCATCCCCATCAAGAGTGCTGTATATGAAAGCGCTAGTGGATGAATTCGCTCTGACATAAATCATTTTTGGAAACAGTCAAGTAAAAATAAAACAAGTAAGTAAAAATTTAATTTGTCCACCTCAGACAGAAATTGAGCCAGTTTCCACTATGGAATTCAATATGCTGACTTGCAATTTTAATATTAAAATGATGTGTTATTTAATTGTTAAATAGCTTGTTTAAAAATAATATTCTTTCTTTCAAGCATTCCAGCCACCCATCTTTAAACAGAAGCTCAAAAGAGGTGAATCACATTAATGAGAAGGCAAACTAGATATGTTCATGGATGCCATTTAACCATGTGAAGTTCAGTATCAGCTTTAGAAAGTTAAAACAGTTCAAAAATATAATCAAATATAAGACAATTCCCTTAAAATTAATCCCAAATAACAAAAGACACTGACTTGGCTTTAAATTCAGCATTATCGTTTATTTATTCTTCAGCTATCTATTACTTACTTCATTTTAGACATTTCTCTTTACTTAAGTGTACTGCACTCAAACTTGTCATCATGATGTCCATATTTGAATTTCATAACCTATTAAGCAGACCAAAAGTAGGTCAACTTAATCAACTGGTTAATCCATATCTGAATTTCATAACCCATCAAGTGGACCAAAAGTAGGTCAACTTAATCAACTGGCTAAATTTTGGTACTCTAGCTGCTGTCCCTGAGTATACCTGGGTAAATCAAAATGATTAATGTGCTCAGTGCTAACAGAAAGGTTGGTGGTGTTTCGACTCCACCCAGAAGCACCTCCAAAGACAGGGCTGGGGATCTACTTCCAAAAAACCAGCCACTGAAACACTATGGAGTACAGTTCTACTCTGACACACATGGGGTTGTCATGAGTTGGAATCAACTTGCCAACAACCAATGTTTATTTTAGCTGCTGTATGTATGTGGCAGATATAATATCTCTTAACATACATTAGTAACTGATGAATCAAGTATACTGTAAAACTAATTTTACAAGACAATATCCCGTATATAATAGCTATATAGTCTTTGGATCTAATTAACTTGCATATTTAATAGTGTAATATGATTTTGTCTTTCAAGAAAATTCGGTCTTTAAAGAAAGGGAGAAGTGATTTTCTTAATTTTAAGAGCTTGTGTAAGTTACAGAACCTTTGTAAAGGGCTTTTCTAAGAAGTCTAAAAACATATTCATCTAGTTAGCCTGAAAATACGGTATCATTCTGTCAACTGCTGGCATTCTTAATCCAAATCAGATAAAATAATTCTACACAGACTTATGGTTGTAAAGTACCAAAAATAAAAGAAAGTTGAAATAAATTATAATTGGGAAGATCACTTTTAAACTACTACATAAGAAATTAATATGATAAAATTCTTTTCACATAAAAAGTCAAATGTCAAATAGAAATCTTCAAGACGTGTGTGCACTACTGATTTCAGCAAGACTTCAAGAGCATGCTATTAAAATGGAGAAAATAATCACAAATCTGCATTACAGTAGTTTTAAAAGTAATTCTAGGTTTATTCATATATTAAGAATCACAAAAGCATATTTGTGAAGTTGCTCAGTTTTTAACCAATGCCCTTATCTGTTTTAAGATGGTGTTTCTAAAACTGACGCTTACAGAGAAGGTTCAAGCAATTAACAGAGATCAGCGAGAACCATAATATGGTTTTTTAGAGCCATTTCTTCCTCTCATACACTTTTCTCCAATTCGGTTTCACTTGCATGACACTTTTTCATCATTTGAGGCTGAGCCTTTTTTGTTAGTAGCTAACACCCCCACCACCACCGTCATGAAGTAAATTTTTGCTTTAATTTTAGCACCCTGGTCTCTTAAGTTACATGCTTATCTTAATCAGATAAATTTATGTTTGGAGGGCAGTTGACAGTTCAAGGCTACTTGGTAAGACTAAAAGTTATTCAATGAATATTTCACTCCAATTCCCAAATATAACTTCATCAGGCAACTAATGATTTTGTCAGTTGGATCCCAATGAAGCACAAGCTAAAGAACCTAAATAAGTACAGAATAGGCCAGACTATCTTCTTTACCATAAAGCCAAAGAGAAAATATCACATAAACGGCTTTAGTTTACATTTAGCAGATCAAACAAAATAATTTCCCCAAAACTCTCACGTTAAATTTGTATCGCTCCATAATTCCAATCACATCACATCTTTCAATCATATTCCAGGAACAAGAAGATACTTGATATGATGCCAATCAAGAGAGTAAAAATTATGCAAAAATCGAGAAATTAATTTGCTCTGTAAACCCTCATCTAAAATACAATAAAAAAAATAAATACGCAAAAAAAAGGTAATGAGAGAAACTGGAATAACAAAATGGTTTGTCTAAGCCACTGTTAACATGTAAAATATATGACCAGCTCTAATGGTCACAATGAGAATCAACTCTCCTTAATCTAAACAAAAGACTTCAAGGGGAGTAGAACCGTTTTCAGTACCCACTGCCTCTTTTTTAACGCAACACATAATTCTTTAAAGAAAAGAAATAAAGTAAAACAAAGATAGAAATGTTCACTGCAGTAGGGGAAAAAAGGAATCAACTTAAAAAGATTATTAAAGAACAAACCCCATATGCACTACAAGTTTTAAAAAAATGAGGTTACAAACAAGGAAGACTTTTAAGTTATCAAATCCATTCCTAAAATGAAATCACCCCTGTATAAAAACCAGTGCACTAACAGACACTGGAATGGCCTCTGACTAAAATGTGAACACTCAAAGGGTAGGTCTCCACTGTCATTACTGCTATACCCAGCACACTGCATGCCATAGTGTGCAGGTCCCATAGCAAAAATGCCCACTGTGTGCCTAATACATTTCTAGAAGGGATATATGGGGAAATACACCAAACCAGAGAAAAGACATATTTTCTGGTCCCATATTTGCTATTAATGAGGTATAATTCCTTGTCAAAAGCCAAACAGGTTGACCAAACAGTCAGCTTCTCTGAGCCTTGCTCAGTTTCACTGTCTAGAAATAAAACATAAATTCTGAGGCTGTAAAGAAGCATGAGGTATTATGGAAGAAGACTGCAAAGACATGAAACTGGTTAGGATTTTAACACTGAGCTGTATCATGAACTTAAGTATGTTTATCAGAGTCAAACTGCATATGTCTTGAAAGATACCTTAAAGGAATGAACACAAAACTGATTCGTCTTTAGCATCATATTCAAGTAAGTATTCAAATCTATCTTTATGATTTTATACACAAACATGGGTGTCATAAAAACAGTCAATATGTTAATGCCCTACCCCATTTAGGAAGTCAGACGATTAATGGATCTCTAAGTTTCTCAAACAATGATAGTACCACATTCCCTTTCACTTTATGAACAATTAGTTTAGGAATAAACACATTGGATCAAATTAAAGGACTCCATTAAGAGGCAGCATTTTGGTTTATGAGCATTATTTTCCCCCAGGGCTGTTACTGATTCACTGAGGAATGACCACGGAGGATTTTTCATCCTTAGGTATACGACGTGGTATTACTGCTGCAAAGACTCACCTTCCGGGTTTGGTGCTGTATTTCTGCAACCGTGCTTTGACTTCATCATACGTGAGAAATGCCATGTAGCCTGGATGCGTCACAGCTAAGAAATTCCAATTCCGTAAAATAGAACCCCAAGGCTGAAAATATAAATAAATGAAAAGGAATTAGCCAGAGAACAGCAACTACCTATTTATTACATATCAATCCATCATCTAACACACTTGCAAAACTCTCTTGGATACTATTAAAGTTTAATAAGCTTATGTGGATTAGGTCAACTTCTGTCATCTAATAGCACACATTTAACAGCTTATTCTTTTTTGGAGAAACATGATTAGGTAGAACATACATTTACGGAGAACAGAAGAAAAATCAGAGAATCTCTTCTCAACTGAGTCTATTCTCAAAAGAGCATTTGTGATCATTTTGAAACATAAATCACATCACTCTTCTGTGCAAAATCCTCTAACTCTGAGTAAAAGCCAAAGCCTGGAAGGACTACAGAGTTTGGCTCCCCAGTTTCATCTCTGACCCCCTCTGCTTACAGCTCTCACCCTTTCTTCTGGCCTCTTTGCCGCTGGCTTGATGGGAAAGCTCTCTCCCACCTTAGAACCTTTGTATATGTTGATCTTCCACATGAATTATTGTTCCCCAAATATCCACCTGATTCCTCTCTTCAAATGTCACTTCTTCAATGACCACCCTATTTAAAACTGCAACCTCCCATCATATTTCTTACCTCCCTAGGGGTTTGTTTGGTTTACAACTGTATCCTCAGCATCTAGTCTGGCACCTAAAGCTAATAGCTGTTCAGTCCATATTTGCTGAATGAACAGAGAAGGAAGAAAGAAGGCAAGGATGAATAAAAGGCTATAAAACATATGGGTGTCTTGTCTAAGAGAATTTGCTTTAAATATGAATTCTGTCAACAACTAGTTACTATATGATCATGGACATGTTATTTGTCCTCTAATCTTAATTTTCTTCCCTGAAAATGAGTATTAGTTCCTACTTCATAAGGTTATTGTGAGGCTTAAATGAAATAATACAGGAAAAACACTTAACACAGTAATGCCATATAGTAGGTATTCAGTAAACTCAATTATTATCATCATGATTATCAGTATCAGGCTCCCCATTTTATAGAACAAGAAACTGTACAATAGAACTTAAGTGATCTGACAAAGGTTACACATTAACCGTAAGGTCCATGAGGGCAAGGAACATGCTTGTCTTGCTCGCCAATGGGATAACAGCACCCATGCATAGTATCAGATACACTGTAATCAGGCAGCAAGAACTGTTATTAAACAGATCCTCTAACTAGTGATTTGTCTCAAAGGCCGTGACTCCTAGGTGAGTATTCTTCCCATGGTAACACACTATTGTACTCACAGTAGATTCATCCTTAGACAATTAAAATTAGAAAAGGTTTAGGGTTTAAAAGTAAGGTACGTAGCAATCTTTTACAGAAATGCATTGGTTTGTATCAGTCTAAGATTCTCTCAATGTCACTAGCCATCCCTCCAGTTGCCAAGGCAAGAGAAGAAGGAAGTTGGTGACAGACAATTTTGCTTGAGGGTATGGATGAATCATCTCTGCAATACTTTTAAGGCTGAAGCTACATTAAAGCCAAGGAATTGGCAGTATACTCTATCCGATGTGCCAAATTATTAATTAAATCTTCTCCATAAAAGAAAAAGAAGACATTTTCAGTTGCCAAATTAAAGTAGTTGAAATAGTCATCCTAGATATGAATCGTGCTTTTGTTTGTTTTGAGACTTGTTCCTTATTATTGTTAAGCAAGTTTCAAATTTACGAGGCGGAATTCTTCAAGGATATAGCCCTTGGGATGAGGATAACAAGGAAAAGAATGATTTAGTCATGAAGAGAAAGCTTGGACATAACAGGAAAAATCTTCAGGGTATTTCCCTATCATACTAAAAAAATCTACTGGTGTGGGAGAGATCTCCGTGGAACACCATTACGAGAGGCTCTGGCTATGTGCTTGAAAAAATAAAATAAAAATGGTTTTTAATTTTCTGTTCAAGGCATGTCTCAAAACTGCATAAAACAATACCTGGAAGAATACAACCATATGTTTAAAAGAAAAAAAGAAAAAAGTGAGAGAGAGAGAAAATGCTATTTTAGGCACTGGTTTTTGTTTTGATCTACTCCCCCATCTACAAAGGACAAGGATGGAAAATAATACCAAATACTTGCATCACTTCAATAAAAGTCCATATAAATTAACTGAAGAGATGTTCTAAAAATGCAGAGAGCCAAACACAAATCAAAATACAAGTGAAAAAAATACAAGTGAAGCCTTGAGCCAACAGCTACAGTATTTAGCAATCATTTCTTAGTACATCACTCAGAAAGCCAGCTTCTTACTACAAAAATATTTATGTAATAGAGTCTGTGTACAGTTTTCTTGTAAATGCAACCCACTCAAAACAGTCAGAAACATGTGGTAGTTATGTTTTGTTTGTTTTAATTATTTTGTCAAGTCATGGTTTAAAAAAGCAAAACAAAGTGTTTCAGGAACAAAATTATTTTTGTAATTTGTTTTCAGATTAAAAGAAATACTTTCACACATACCAGAACAAAATTATTTTTACATTCTTACATGACTACAGAAATTAATGAAGTGAATTAAGGAGACTTACGCATCCATTCTCCCAAATGCTACTATTTTCAAGAATAGCCATTTACTGACTTACAACTTATATAGCAGAGGGAGGCCTTGGCTAGTCTGCCCAGAAACTCTCTCTCCTTCCTTGCTACAATCAGTAACCTTCCCCCTCTTTTTTTTCTCTCTCCCTATTCCACTGGTGCAATAAACTCCATTCTCAGATCATTCTTTCCTTATTCTGCCACATCTCAAATACAGCCGTCCATTTCTCAACAACCCAGTCTCCTCCAGTAGTGGGGAAAATGGGGAGAAAAGGAGCGGCATTCCCAGGGAGACGGAAGAAAGAAGTAAATTCCAAATGCTTCCATTCCAGGATTTTAGTTCCTGCCAATCAATCCCAGCATCACTGAACTACCTAGAGAGAAGAATGAGAAGGTGATGGAGCCGGAGAAAGAAGAGAGAATGAGGAAGATAACCACTACAAAATCCTTCTGATCACTACCCAGCATTTGTTCAAGTTCTGGCTAGATATCAGAATAAGGGAAGACAAGAAGAAAGGTAATAAGCATCCAGCGCTCTTACTTTTTTCAGTTCCTAAACAATCCTCAACTTTATCTCCTGGCCTCTGCTGACTCCTTTAAATCCTTATGCCAGCTTCACTATTCCAGACTTCAAATTCTGAGAGTATACCTTATCCTCTTTCAGATCCAACTCTGTTAAAATATCCTAGCCTCAAATATTTCAGAACTAGAAGAAGTCAATGCCAACTAATCAACAAAATCATTGCTGCAACAGAATATATGTTCAGGTAATTCCAATATTAACAAAATGCATATTTTTATACAGAATACTTGGATATACCTTAAGAAAATTGTTACTCACTTTTTTGAAATGGTGTTATTTTTTTTTAATTGTGTAAAATTAAAAGATCTACTTCTCTATACGTAAAACCAATTTTATTGTATCTCAAGGCAGATGTATTAGAATACAGTCAAAGCATTTGAATAATGAGTATAGAAACCAATGGAAGGGAAGAATCTAAGAAACATATAGTGACATTAGTATTTTTTTTTAGCTACTTTTGTAATTAACATGTTTTAAAAGTGACTAGGCACTTTTTGGAGCCCTGCTGGTGAAGTGGTTAAGAGCTCAGGCTGCTAACCAAAAGGCTGGCAGGTGGAATCCACCAGCTGGCTCCTTGGAAACCCCATGGGGCAGTTCTACTTTGTCCTATAGGGTCCCTATGAGTCAGAATCAACTCGACAGCACACAATAACAACAGGCACTTTTTGGTTCACAGGCAAGATTGTGATTTTTTGTTATGAAAAACTTTATATAGTAGCTCAACTCATTTTCCTCTTCCATTCTACTGAACATAAATAATGTCCACAAGCTTAGAGCAATAAGGGCACTATTAGAGAAGTAAGGACTGTGTTAAAGTGAAACAGCTCATGAGCAAATGTGTGCAGATTAGATAAGCTTTTAATTCATATTGTTATCCTCATACCTTTAATATATATATATAACTCTAAGGCATTCTAGTATGTAATATGCACACTAAAAAGGCATTCAGACTTCCCCCAGAAACAGGCTCTTCCTCAAATGAGCAGTTAGGTATCATGTATGAAAATCACTTTTGCCCTCTTCCTTCACAAGGTTGAGTAGCAAAGCTACCATTTAGAATATCTTTGAATCATGTTAAATAAATGGAGTATTTATTCAGTAAAAGTATCAAAAACCTTTAATAAAAAGGAGAGATTCCATTACAAAATGATCAGTATTCAAGTGACACAATTATTTTTCTAAAATGTATCATAATTCATTGAAAAAGCGTAAGCGGACAGCACATATACACCAAGGGGATAATCATGAAACTATAAAATCTGAAAAAACACAAAAATTCACATTCTGGAGAGTAATGTATATAATTTCTTGCCCTAGATGTGTAGGTAGAATTATGATTTTGAAATTGTAATAAAGTAAAATGTATCCTGTAAGTATTTTCGACAAGAGTTAATTTGCCTTCTGTTAATGAGTTCTTTCATAAATTAAAAGTTAATCCCATGCAATGTTGTTTTCTTAAATAAATCAATCACCCCAATCCTTGCACACTAGTGCCAAGCAAAGTTATAAACCAGAGAAGAAAAATTCTTACAATGTGGTAAACATGAAAACCAATATTACACTCTAACATTTATTGAAAGCATGTTTCAAGTAGAATAAATCTTACTTCAGACTAAAATAATAAAAAGTCAAGTCAGAATATAAGCCTGGCTTTCTATTCAGTTTACCTCGGCCAATAATTTATATTATTAGTTAGAAATTTTGAGTAGGAATCTTTTATTCTGTGAATATTTGATCAAATTCCATAGATTATATTACAATTTTGTGGCACAGCCAAACTCGAAACTCAAATTTCAAGTCTTCAAAATCAAGACAATTCCATTAAAACATGTAAAAGAACAAAATAATAGCATCTGCCTTACCTCATATGATTATACCTGCTTCTGAATAGTTAAGTGAGGTAATCGTGGAGCAATGATTAAAATACAAAACAATAAACAGAGCAAGAATGTTCATTTCAGTGTTGATTATATTAAGGGAGAAGCAGAAAAAAAAATCTAAGTTTTCCAAAAGAGGGATTTGTTAAATTAAGACTGATATGTTATTTTTATGGAATATTATATAGAAACTGAAAATTGAAAATTACATTGATGAAAAATATTTACTGACATGGAACATGTTCATATGATTGAATGAGAAAAGCGGTTTTAAAACAGTACCCACCACAATACAATTCTATACAGAATAGTCTGCTATTGCTGTTTTCTACTTCCCTTTTCTCCTAATGAATGAGAAAGGCAAAAAGAGAAGATGGGATACAACTCTAGTAACTGCACACCACCAATCCTTTAAATGCTGCATTCTATCAGTTACTAGGCTGAAAACATCAACAAAGTAAAGTGAGAAACTCCCCGTTGCTATCGAGTTGATTCTGACTTACAGTGACCCCACAGGACAGAGCAGAACTGCCTCCCAGGGTTACCAAGGCTGTAATCTTTCCAGAAGCAGATTCTCCCGTGGAGTTGCTGGTGTGTTCAAACTTCCAATCCTTTTGTTAGCAGCCTAACACTTAAACACTGTGCCACCAGGGATCGAGAAACTAAATACGGAGTTTAAAATAAAGCTCCTTTGCATGAATCCTCTAAGCTGACAAGCAACTACTAGACTCACAGCACTGATACGACAAACTTAAACGAAATGACTCACTCTAAACTTACAGCAATGCCAGAAAACTTACTCCCAACGGCTTGCTTTAAAATTAGACTACCAAGGATTTGACTACTTTTGTAGGTGCGTATGTGTGTGAGAGACAAAGAAGGAAGGGGAGGGGAGTGAAGAAGAGGAGTGGAGAAGAGTGGAGAGTGGAGAGGAGAAGAAAGGGAGGAGAAAAAGGAGGAAGACACAGCCGAGGAGGAGGAGGCTGGAGGGATGGAAAAAGGGAGGGAGGGAGGGAGAGAGGGAAATGGGGATGGACACATTAAGCAATACAAAACTTACCTGAAATAGCCTGGTAAAAATATCAAATTCAAAAACTGAAATGTAATCATTGCAAGTTAAATCAATTGTTGATTTTAGAGCCATTGCTTCCAAGCCAGAGCTAATTTGATGGACCTCATGAAGGCACTGTCTGAATACTTTCCATGGTACAATAGTTCTGTACAAAAAGAAAAAAGAAATTAAGTGTCATTTAAGACATACTTTCTATTCAAATAGTACAAGTCAATCATAGTATTAATACAATTACAATTGTATTAAAAAGCAAATAGTTGAGAATATTGTTCACAATTCAGAACACATGCAATGGTTTCTGCTAACTGGATTATTTTTCACTTACAATATGATAAAAATCTAAGCGAATTTTTCACTGAAAACAGCCCTTGGCTATCATGGTATCTCTAGAAATACATCAGAAAGAAGGTATTAGGTCAAAGCCCTGTGTGTCAGAAAGTCTTCATTTGTGTATACAAGGTTAGTTAACCAAAATCAAGGTTAAATTCTCCCCACGAGGCAGTTCTACTCTGTCACATGGGGTTGCTATGAGTCGGAATCTACTCAATAGCACACAACAACAACATTTATTTCCTGAAAAAAGTTATAAAATGATGGGTCCACATAACAGAAAAAATTGCTTACTCACTGCATAAAAGAGTAATGTGTATCTACCATTTCCAGATAGTTAAGGTGAAAAATTATCGAGACATTTCCACCTTCACTCCAGTGTTTTCTGCATAGATGAAAGGCACATGTTATCTAATCTTCACTATTAATGCAAAGAGGAAGATAACCACACTGGCTATCTTATGGGAATACAGTCAACATTTAGTCATTAATTTATTAAATATCACGTATCAAAATTTTGAATAGATAATGCATTTCCATAGATCAAAAGTTTCGAACCACACAGAAAGCCATCCAGAAGAAAAATCTCTCTCTCAACCTATCCCCTGCCTGAGCAGTTTCCAACATTCAGCCACCTTGCCTCTACCAGGAAAACAGGAAACACTCATTACTCATTTCTGAGTTAACCTTCTGGCTTTTAGGATGCTAACTGCCAATTCCTGAATAGGCAGAGAAAAAAATTACTATAAATATAAATGTATGTATGTATGTGTGTGTGTATATATGTAGTTTTTTTATTAGTGTTTTCACAAAATGACAGCATAAGAGCTATACACACCCTCCACCCTCCTCTTATAAGACTGCAAATATGTAAATCTTAGGATTTTCTTCACCAGTGTCTCTTGACAAATAAAAGATACAGACTTCCTGGACTAAGTGTATATGGATTTCCTGCCTGGCCCCTCCTATGCTGATCCTCTCTGAGAAGCATCACCATAAATACACAAATTTCCTATTCTTTCAATAGTTACCTATTGCAGGGTTGCCAAACTTTATCACATTCGTGAGACCCAACCCTAGATATTCTGATTCATTAGGAATAGGGTGGGGCCTGAGAATTAACATTTCTAACAAGTTCCCAGGTGATACTGACATTGTTGGTCTGGGGATCATACACTGAGACCCACTGATCTACTGCATTTATTAATTGCTAAAGCAAGGTAAAACCAAACCCGTTACCGTCAAGTCGATTCTGACTCACAGCAACACTACAGGACAGAGCAGAATTGCTGCATAGGGTTTCCAAGGCGCAGCTGGTGGATTTGAGCTGTCGACCTTTTGGTTAGCAGACAATCTCTTAACCACCGGAGTCCTGGTGGTACAGTGGTTAAGAGCTTGGCTGCTAACCAAAAGGTCGGCAGTTTGAATCTACCAGCCGCTCCTTGGAAACACTTTGGGGCAGTTCTACTCTGTCCTACAGTGTCCTTATGAGTCAGAACTCACTAGATAGCAGTAAGTTTGCTTTTTGGTTTAAGGCAACGTACTGCGGGGAAATACAATTATGGAAATATAAAATACCATCTCTGTCCTTGAAGAACACACTTTAGGGGGAGAAATAAGACGTAAGGTTAAAGAATGTGGGGCGGTATATAAGGAACTGCTGGTTAATGCAATACACAGTAAGGGCTGAAGGAATTTTGAGGGTAGGGGAGTGGACTGTGGGAAATGGAATAAATGAATGGTGAGGTCAGTGGCATCACTAGTTTAGTGCCATCCAATGTGGTTAAGTCATAATGTCACTCCCCCCATGGACCTCTGCCCATACCAGATCATACAGAACCCTGAGTAACATTTTTTGTACTAATGTTACTTATAAACTGTAATTCCCATATATCACTCCTTTTCCTTTAATTACTACTTCATTCTCAAAAAAAGTTATTGATATAGGTCCACAAATACTAATTACCACAATATTGTAGCTAAAACATCAGAAAATTTGACAAAATCAGAGACTATAAAAACACCAGAAGCAATGAAAATAACAGCACATGCTTTTAGCATGTGCAGATGAAATCATGTGATTCGAACCATTATTATATTTGGGTAACAATGACCACTCTGACCTGCAGCGCATTTATAAGGTCCAAAAAGTAAATTAGCATAGAGTCTTAGCCTTGTAGGTATATTGATACATGTAAGCTCAGCTTACGAAAAATGTTTTTGTTGTTGAAACCAACTACAAGGATATTTTTATAAAAAGTAATAAATACTGCTGAAACACTGTATAGAAATTTTACAGACAGTCATTTTGGCGTCACCCTCTCTGACGGTGTCACCCGGCTGGTCTGCACCCCCCAAACCCCTCTACTGACGCCACTCAGTGAAGCAGACTTACCATGCTGTATTCATAAGAATTTTAGGTCTTATGTACCATTAAAAGAAAAAAACTGAGGCTTGATACCTCAAAAGGCTTTTAAAACTCTGTGTATGAAAAAAACAGGAAACCACAGAGAACTGAAGAAATATACCACATCAGATGCCATTTAGAAGAAAAACACGTCAGACTCTGATTAAGGTTAACAAAATGCCACTGTTTTAAAAAGCACAAGGGAAACCTTTAATAACATTAGAATGCTATTGATTTATGATGAGAAGTGTAAACATGCAATCATGCCCAGCTTTATTACAGTTATCATTAAAGTAGTACCTTAGAAGCACATTCTTCATTTCCAAATTAAAGTTTTCAAATACTCAACACAGAAAAGGGACAAGCACCATGATGTTTCAAATAAAAAACTAAAATAAAATAACTGAAGAACTACTGTTTTAAGAATGGAATATTTTATCTTTTGTATGAAAAAGTTAAGGGGAATTTGTTTTGTGCACAAAGTATATGAAGTAAATACACTTCCAAAATATACATTTCAGTATTTGTTGCCATAATAAAGATTATCCTCATCAGTACTTAAGGTGCTTACAAATCTTAACTCCTTTGGGCAAACAATAATTTCCCAGAGCAAATTATGAAAAATGTGCAGATGTCTAAAATTTTACTATGATATACCACTTCAAATAACCATTTTCAAAGAGACAATCTACATTTCCACGGTACTTGTATACATACTCGGACCTGGTGGCACAGTGGTTAAGAGCTCAGCTGCTAACCAAATGGTTGACAATTTGAATCCACCAGCCACTCCCTGGAAACCCTGGGCAATTCCACTCCGTCCTATAGGATCGCTATGAGTTGGAATCGACTCAACGGCAAGGGGTTTTGTATAAGTAAGACTTCGTCACAGTTCACCTCTGATAAATCTAAGCTCCAAACAGACATTCACTGGAACCACAATCAAGGGTAGGAAGAGCTATTAAGAAGAAAGGCCATTATTTGGTTAATGTGTATACAGAAGTATGTGTAAGAGACAACCCTAGTCTGATCAGCTGAGTGAAACACTCACCTCAGAGACGGTGTTTAAGAATGGGAGTGTGGTGATGTGTGCGTGGCGCTCGTGTGTAGGGAGTGTTTTCACGAGTGAAGAAGAGAAATAAGTACAATGAGTTCTGAAAAACCAACAAAAAAAAAACCAGATTCTTCTAAAACCATTATAAGGATCTGAACTTTTCATGAAAAATTACAAATTGCTATCACATTCTTTCCTGAGATGTATGGGGAGAAAGGACAATGGAGAGCCTGAATATTTGCACCTTTGATTAAACTGTAGCAACAAGACAAGAGTGGTGGTTTCTACTACCTCTTCCCCTAGAGATCAAGAGAAACAAAATATTAATGGCAGGTTTTGTAGAAATGTCAGTGTGCTAATAGATACCTAGGAAAATAAAAGGGCCAAAAGGAAGGGGAAAATGAAGAAAAGGAAGAAAATATTAAAGGCCGAACTAAGCTTCAAACTCTCATCAACACAGAAGTCTTTTATTCTCTTTTATTTGCCACTTACAATTATAAGCCACTTTAATTACAGGTTGAATTAATTTAAAATCCACTGAAAATCACAGGTAACTGTCAATTCACAAAGAATGGAATACAGGACCAACAGAGACCAACAGGTGGCCAGGCACTTGTAATAATATGATTTCAGGATCTTCAGACTTCCAGTGGAGTCCCCAGGTGGTGCAAACAGTTAACAAGCTTGGCTGTTACCCAAAGATTGGCAGTTCAAGTCCACTCAGTGGTATCTCAAAAGAAAGTCCTGGCAATCTACTTGTGAAAAATCAGCCATGGAAAACTCTATGGAGCACAGTTCTACTCTGACACACGTAGGGTTGCTATGAGTCTGCACTGAATCGACAACAACAAGTTTTAAGTTTAGAATTCCCGTAAGAGTTTAAGATTTGCCAGTTATTGATGGCTTACTATCTGCCAATCACCAAGTTAAGGACTTCATATGTATTATCTGTGTTTGTCACAGTAACACTATGAGGCTGATGATCTATTTCCTCATGATACAGACAAGGAAACTGAGACTTAGAGAGATAACAACAAAGGAACTTTCCACGTGGTAGGCATCGTGCTAGGTTCAGAACACAATTATAAATAAGAGATCTCATCCAAAAGGAAGTCACAATCAATTATGTGGAAAGACACATAAATAAATAATGCCAGCCATGTGCTAAGGCTATCATAGAAAAAGATGCATGTGCCATGGAAACCCCATGGGCTCCTTGAGGTCATGGATTGTATCTTATTCACCTTGGCCCAAGACCAATGAGGTATACTGCTAAAATTTGTGTAATTAAATTAAATTGTGCCTAGGGAAGGCAAAGAAGTGTTTCATGGAGGAGGAGTCTTCGAGATTTGAC